TTTTTACCAATAAATGAAAAATCTGGCATATCCTCTCTAAAGAATCAATACTGTTTACCTTTTCAAATCAGTTAAGTTAGTCACGAAAAAATCACAATATGAGTATTGAACCTACAATGAATGATATATGTCAAACTCAAGAGAAAAATAAAAACTTTGATTATTTTCTCTACATGACAAATAGAATATATTATAATACAGAGATAAAGCAAATATGGTATATTCTTTATTTAATATTATATAGAATTTTTTAAAGCCAAGCATGAGCAAAAATAGTGTCTTCATATTTCTTTTTGTTCTTTTTCTTTGTCCTTTTTTTTTTTATCTTTTCTTTTTTCTTTTGGTTTACATTTAGGTTTTGTAGTTAGTTCCTCTTTTTTTTTACTTCCTTTTTAGTTTTTTCTTTCTTATATTCTGTTGTTCTTTAAATAAGGATTATAGAATTCTCTTGCTTGATAATTAAAAGAAAAGAAAAAATAAATCAAAGATGAAACCAGGAAGACAATTTTGAGGCTTGTTGTGAAAAGGTGAAGACCTTTTTTATTATAGACTTTAAGTAGTCAAACAAGCAGCTTACTTCTGTTTGAAATAATATGGCAGGTTGTACTTAGGTGCTATTAGAGTGACTAGGTGATACTAAACTTAGTTGTTAGGTATAGCTATGTAATTACAATAGTAATTTTATGAATCTTAATAAAGTACTAGCATGACTGCCTAAGGGAAAGAAAAAAAAAAGAATCAGCTAGTTCTATATAAACCTTTGGCTTCTTAGAAACCTCTATTTGCTTACTTTTACTTTTATCTTTCTCTGTTTTTTTATTTTTATTACCAATTACTTCAAACACTACTAGTTGATCAAATTCTTTTTGTTAAATTTTAGTTTCTATTATTTTAAATTATAAAAATGAGTGCTGCAAAGCTAAAATATGCAAATCTTATAAGATTTGTATATTTTAGTTTTGCAGTATACAAATAAAAAATATTTGTTAAATGATGATGAATAGATTTATATTTGTAAATGAAGATTTAAAAATTTTTTTTTAAATGGTACTGCAGGTACTATAGGTTCTAGGCAAAGGGTTACTTGGACCAGTTACAGATTCATAGTCACTATTAGAAGGAGACTCAAAATCACTATGAATAATATGTTGTTTTATTGGAGTGCTAGCAATATCAGTTAATTTTATTAAACTATCAGAATTAGCAAATAATGTTAAACTATTAGTATTAGAACAAATCTATAAATTAGAAATTAGCTAGTCTAGTATGTTGGATAGTAATATAGAGTTTTTATCAACTAAATAGTATGCATTTATTTAAAAATATTGGCTTATTTTTTTCTGACTTTTTATAACAACTATTTTTTCAGCTGATCATAAATTTTTTTTAAACTAAAGAGGATTAAATAAATAAAATAGGGATTGCCTATTTCCACCATGGTAAATTGCTATTTTCACCATGTGATTTACAAGTTATCCGTATATTTCTGAATAACAACTACATAAATAAAATTAGTGTGAATAGTCATATAAAAATACTCTCTATTATACCTTAAGAGACCCGAGGTTTTTTTATTAGTAATTTACACTTCTCTAATCAATATACTCACTGGATATAATTCAAGTTTTTTAACTGGTGAAATGTAACATACTCAGGTCATTTATATGCCTATTTACGATAACTATACATAACAAAAAATTTTATATAAAATAAAAAAAATTATACTAAACTATCGTTCTAACTAATATGAACAAACGATCACAAATGAGTTAGCTCATATACCATGAATTCATCTATGTGACCTACTAAACTTGTCTATACCTACTCGATTTAGTATAATACTCTAATACTCTTTTATAAGAGATTTAAGGTTAGAGCCTTGAAATCGACAATTGAGGTATACCCTCTATATCAGATTTAGATCATATACTACGATCCACCCTATGCAAACCTTTTTTTTTTAACTTTCAAGTTGGTTATAAAGTTTAAATGCACTATGTATTATTTGTATAACTGATCTTTCTTGCATTTGTCAATTTCTGTATTATATAGTTGTACAGAACGAAAAATCTAAGTTGGAATTGTAAAAACGACGAAAGTGCTTTTTTTCAGCGGTAGAGTATTGTACAAATAAATTTGGTGGGCATACCAATACCTATATATAAGAATCACTTAATATATAGTGTTTGTAGTCGATTTTGCTTAGTCAATTTTATCGGCTTAGCCGACTTTAGCCAGTCGATTTTTCAAAAAATTGACTTAGTCGATTTTTTTTATTAAATTATATATAAAAACTATAATAGCCAATAGGAATTCACCTATAATCATATCCACCGATTTGGTTTGATAGCCAATCATGATTGAGAATTATTTGCTGTTAAAATTTATTACAAAGTGGGTTTTTACAACAATGGTCTTTTATACTTACTTTTAATCCATAATTAAGTGTATAGAACATTTTAATATCTACATGTTTAATTATTGGCTAAAAGTAAGTTAAAAAGGTTGTTTTCCTAAAAAATTGCTTCCGAATCCACCCTTACCCATTATGCAACTGATCCTTCACCACCTGAAAATACCTGAACATTTCAATAACTAGTAATAACGCTTCTCTTTACAGCTTAGCGCGGCTGTTTTTTAATATTTATTGCTTATTTATCTCATATAGAGGCCAAAAAACTATTTTATTTGAATGATTCGTTTGCTATTCTTCACGTCACTTAATAGCAAAAGGTTGTGTAACAGTTTATCGAAAATAAATCAACTAATAATTTTATTGAATGTATATATGCTCTAGCTGAGAGTACGTACGTAAATGCATACATATGTAAAAAAACTAGTTTTAACATGACAGAATTTCAATTTAACCTAATTGTATATAGATTCCTGCAAGTGCCCATTTCAAGCATATATCGATCTAAAAAAGGATGTATAATGGTTATATTGAACGAACGCCAAGAATTTGGAATAAAGTTCGCAATATAAATTATATATATTTAACTACTCAACAATAATATAGACCGAACACCAAGGATTTGAAATAAAGTGCATAATATAAATTATATATCACTCGTGAAATTTTTTCGTCCACCAAATCAATAATTCTTGCGAATTTGGGTAGTTAAAAAAAATTAATTTATCGTTGCAGACTGGTCCATGTTTCTTGAGTAGTCTATGGAAACCTTACTAAATTTTACAAGACATACACAATTCCCCCAAAAGTAATAGTTTAATGAATAAAATAAAAATTATAAGTTTAATAAAAAAAAAACACATTCAAATGCAATATCCTCATGCCAATGATTAGTTGCAATCATAACAATCGCTCTGTTATAAAAAAGTCTTAATTAACTGCTGAATTTTGATATAAGATCCATCCTTTTTAACTCCAATTCCATTAAGATAACAATATCCAACATTGTATATTCTATTCGCATCATCCACCATTGCTGATTTTTTAATAATAAATAAATGCCTTATATTTATCCTCCCTACTTATGGCATGAAATTATATTATGCCAAACACTTAAACTGTTACTCAAGTGCAAACAACTACCTGAATACAGTATTAATAGGGTTTGGGGCATGAGAAATCTTGAATATGCCTCCAAGAAAATACTAAAACAATGATTTTTCGAATAAAAAAAAAAATAAATATAATCAAGGATTCTGCATCCTGAACCCTCAGTATAACATAATGTGCAGTTAAATAATTCAAATAAAATTAAAAAAAAAAGAAAAAAAAAGGATATAAAATACACCATCTATACTCTTGCTGTTATACGTATATTATAAGCCCAAAATACATAATTACGAACCTTTGATATAGTTGGCCCCTAACAAAATGTTTGATCAATTGTTTGAAGTTAATATGTCATTTGAATATAAAGGAATAAATAACTTTGAACATAACTTTGATGATAATTATATTATTAATGAAAATGTTTTTAGTGATGAAAATGATAATTATGATGAAAGTAATGATCATACTGATGATGATGAGGAAAATACGATTAATTTTTTACCTATTACCTCTTATTTTTCCCCAATGTTTCCAATTGAAACTTCAAAAAAAAAAACTAAAACCAATGTAACACATAAAAAAGGAAGCAAATCGTCTGGTTCCAGTTGGATATAGAAATATACTCATCGAGATAAATTAACCAAGGTCAAATACTGTACAGTTCATATAGATAATGAAGATGGTACTAGTGAGTAGTGTAAAATGGTATTTCAGCCAAAAACATCAACAACTAATATAGCTGCACATTTACGTACTGAGCATCGAATTTTTAAAACCCAAAAATAGGATGTGTCCCCTACAACAACTGTAAATCCCACATCAGTAACTCACTAACAATCGAAACAATCATACAAAAACAGATAGAAAACACTTTGCCCCTTCCTGAAAAACAACAAAATCGTATTGCTTATCAGCTTGTTGCTTGGATTGTCGAAGAAATGATGCCATTAAATTGTATCTACCATGATCAGTTTTGAAATTTTTGTTATGAGATTAATCAATGGTTTGAGGTCCCTTGTACTAATACAATTAAAAATATGATGAAAGAATCAGTATTTCATACATGCACAATACTAAAAGAAATGATATATTGAACAATGGCTTCCGCTTGTATTACTACTAATTTATAGACACAAAACCATGTTCCATATATCGGCATAACAGCCCATTGGCTTTCTGAGAACTTTACTATATACAAATCCTTAATTACAATTGAGCATTTTCCCTATCCACATACAGGTAGTGTTACAAATTGTCAATCGATTCATTGAACTAATCGATTGAATTTTTTAGATAAAACTAATTGATTAATCAATTAGTTGCAACTAATTGATCAATCGATTAGTTTTATCTAAAAGATTCAATCGAATAGTTGTCAACTAATCAATTAACTGATTTTTTTAACTTTTGATTTGTAATACTACATACAGGAGATCGAATCGAAGATTTTTTGCACAAAGTTCTCGTAGAATAGGATATGTTCGATAAAATTAGTGTTGTAATAACTGACAATGCGTCGTCTATGAACAAAGCGATTAGACAACTAGGCACTCCTCACCTTGGTTGTACAGCACATACTATTTATCTTGCGGTTACGGATGGGTTAAAACAATGTAAAACTTTAATTGGGTGTGCAAAATCATTAAATAACTTTTTGGTTAATCGTGACAAATATAGATGTTATTTTAAAAAATTCAGCATGAAATGATTGAAAAAAAAAATAATGATAATGCAACTAAACTAACCACCAATATGTCTGTTCTAGATCCTATCTCAAGTGACACTATTACCAGATGAAACTCCACTTATCTTGTTCTTCAAAGGCTTCTTGAACTTCGAGAACTGATTTTAGAATTGGCAACAAATCTAACAAATAATCCTGACCGTACTATTCATGCTGATGGTAATAACCTTAATGAAAAAATACTTACTGATGAAGAATAGACAGGTTAATATATCTTTATTTAAATTTAATAAATAGAAGTTTTCAAAAATCTGTTGTTATAATAAATAAATAAATAAAAAACAAAAAAAATAAAAATAAATACAAAAAAAAAAAAAAAAGAATGTAAAAATAACTAAATAAATAAATACAAAAAAAAAAAAAAGTTATCAAAGCAGAAAATAGTAATAAAACTACAA